AGGGATGCATGAGGGAGGGATGGAGGGAAGGAAGGAAGGGAAGGATGGAGGGAGGGATGGAAGGGAGGGAGGCATGAAGGGATGGAGGGAGGGAGGGAAGGGAGGGAAGGGAGGGAGGGAGGAATGAAAAAAGGGCCTGGGCAAGGGAGGCGAAAGAAAAAGGAAGCAGAAAGCTGGGGAGGCAAGGGGACAGAGAAGATGGAAGAGGTTACCATGAGCAAGACAGACAAGCGGAACAGGCCGCCAGTCTTGTTCTGCACCATGTTGATATATTCCTCCTGCAGATGGCGATGAGGAGGAGCTAGGTGAAGCGGCAGACCGACTTCAGTAGGGCAGATTGAGTTGTCCCGCCAGTAGATGTCCAGCCCCTACACTCTCGTGAGGTCAAGCCGAGCAGCATTCTCCCTCACTTGTCCTCTGTGAAGGTTCAGCATCTCCTTGATGAAGATCTCCACCGCTTGAGAGTTTCCTTCACAGCTATCTCAACCTCCTCCTTTCTCTCCTCCTCCCCCTTGCCCTGTCCCTTGCACTTCCTCGTCCTGGTACTCACCCAACTTGGTGAGATCGTTGAGCGCAAGGAAGTAGACGTAGTTGGCTGTGTTCAGCGTCTGAGGAACTCCTGCAGCTTGTGAGGGCGACCGCAAGACGATTCAGCTGGTCACCGTAGACAACATGAGCGACGGGAGTTCCTCTTCTCAGCTTCGAGTTGTCTTCTATATCGTCGATCATCTGCCGTTCACCCTCAGCCTCTTCCCACGCCTCCTCCTCCTCTCCTTCCGCTCCCGCTCCTTCCTCCTCCTCCTCCTCCTCCTCTACCAGACTGGCGTTGTGAAGTTTCTGAGTGATGTCCGCAATCTTCTCGATGATCTCAGACGGGACCTACAGACACTCACGATCACTGTTCCCAGACCTTGACCATCAACTCCCTGACCCCCTCCACCCTCACCCCCACCCCACCTCATCATCATCATCATCATCATATCATATCATCATCATCATCATCATCATCATCGCCACTATCATAGCTCTTCTGCTACTTGGTCATCTTTGGACTACATGACGATCTCAGTTTTCACTTAACCTGCAGCCAGTTGTTGAAGGCTGCGATCATTCTCGGGCGGATTCCTTTGCCAGGAAGTTTTCCGATGTAGTTGAAGGGCTCCAGGAGCACCTGACCACCTCCTGTCATCCTTCCCTTGCCCTCCACTTCGATCACCTCCTCCTGTGATCGCAACGACCCTGACATGGTCTTGAGCATTCTTGGCTGCGACAAGCACATCAGCTGCTGATGTATATCTCAGGACAATCTCACGGGCTGCAACTCCATCAAGCTGTGACGATTCTTGAGAGATTAGCAGCGCATCTGCGAACCGATGAGAGCGAAGGACAAGGCTACGACTGGTGCTCCTCTCCTCCTCTCACTTTCCAGTGTGTTATGACCTGTTCTCTTTCTCCATATCTCCTCCTCTCCTGCTCTGTGTCTGCGCTGTTTGCGTCCTCCTCCCCTCCCTCCCTCCGGCTTTCGCCCATGCTCGCCATGCTTCCTATAAGGTGCGGGGGCAGCGACGTCGACTAGGAGAACTACTAGTGCAAGGTTCAATCTATCCATGGGCATCACTGCTACACCACCCCTCTATTACATATGTAGATGAGGGGTTATCTTATCACCCCCACCCCGTTTTTCCCACTGCTCTCACCGGTGTATCTACACCCCCCTACCCCTAGGAAAACAGGAATTAGTGGGGTGATGTGGGACGCCGGGTGGAGGGAAGGGAAGGCGGCGGCGGGATGGAGGGAGCAGGCGAGGAGGTGAAGACGCTGGGGGGAACATGCCGGGACTCCGACCACGTGGTGGAGAAGATCAACAGCGTGCACGAGAAGCTCTCAAGACAAGGTGAGCACGCGAACACAGAGATCAGGAGAAAGGCGGAGCAGAGAATGCAAGGCGAGGGTGAGTAGTTTGATATTTAGAGTTCCGAGGAAGAATGGCAAGAAACGGTATGATTGAAGAATTTGACAACACTTAGTTATGAAGCGAGGCATTGATCACATAGGAGAAAAGAGAGATCAGAATCGAAGAGACAATGAAAGAAGCTATGGGCTAGGAGTGTGACGCAGGTCAAGGGATATTTCAACACGTCAAGTGTGAACATCGCATGAATGAGATGTCTTTCACAAGCTTTTTGCGACAGCTCGTGCTGATGTCTCACTCCGTTTGACTCGTTGTGTTGTTTGTACTTCTCAGATCCCGCCGAGAGAGAGCAGGAGATCTCTCGTCAGTGTCAGAAGTTGCGCACCATGTGAGAAGCTCCTTTCCCTTCCTGTCCCGACTCTTCTCTTTCGCTCTTTCTGGACATCACAGAGCTTTCTTTCTCCTATGCTTCTTTCTCCTGTTCCTGATGTCTCCTACTTCTTGCTCCTGTTCCTGATGTTGTTCGGTACCTCAAGGTATCAACGTGCCAAGACGCTAGCGGAGAAAGAGAGCGAAGCTTGTCTCAGTTGCCTGGCGAAGATAGATGACTTGATCTATCGCAAGACCGGAGAAGTGATGCCGCAGCCGGACCGAGGCGTCAAGCGAAGCTTGCTAGCCGTTGACAACGGTGATTGAGCTCTCTTGGCTCAGCCTGTGGTGACTTCCCGCAGGAAATGGGTTCGCGTCAGTCAAGCGCATGTCGTTGGATCAACCGGCTGCTTCAGGTTCCCTTCCTCTGTGAGGGCCCCAGACTCACGTGCCCCTGGCGCAGAAGTCTCCTCCCCCTTCCCGAGAACTCCAGGTCTGCCGCGAGGCGGCTGGGCATGAGTCTGAGATGCTGCAGCTGCTCCTAAGGTACCGAAGTCATCAGCGCTAGAAAAGCAGGTCCGCCTTATCTTGCTCTACCCGCATCGACGTGCTTGACACGTCTAGTCTCCTCAGTCTGCAGCGCGGGAGAAGCGACGACAGAAGGAGCTCAAGTCAGAGTTGGAGAGCAAACTTCACACTGCGGCCAAGACAAACGATGTCACTCGCCGATCACGCGCTTCTTCTCGCTGACGTTGGGCATGTCACAGGTTAATCTTGCAAGAGAATGCCTGGAGGGTGGAGCAGACGTGAACAAGAGGGAGGGAGGATGGACCCCCCTACACTTCGCTGCGAGCAAGAACAGCCCTGATGTTGGGAGGTGCGAGGACGCGGAGGTGAGGGTGACGAGGCGGCAGGTTGCTCAGCTTCTCGTGGAGAGTCGGGCAGACATAAACGCGTTTGGCACCAAGGACGGCTGGACTGCCTTGGTCTGGGCCTGCAGGTAAGGAGCGAGTCCAAGGCACTGGAAGTCAGACGTGCGTGCAGCATGAACTCAGTTGGAGTAGCGAAGATCTTGATCGCGGGAGGAGCAGACGTGAACCTGCCGGGCTCGAAGGTGCCACTCTCTCCTTTACAGTCAGCAAGTTGAGACAGCAAGCAGGATGGTTCCACCCCCCTCGGTTGGTGCGCATTCAAGGAGAGCGTGGAGGTAAGGCAGGAGGAGGGTCTTGCTTCAGATTCACCGGAATGAAGGTCGGGGAGCTTCTCCTGGAAGCTGGAGTCGACGTGGCTGGATCTGGGACCAAGGTGAGGCAGCAGCAGAGGCAGCGCAAGGCCTGAGAGCTCTTCCCTTTAGGATGGCAACACTGCCTTGCACTGGGCCAGCCATAGGAATGCTTGCGGTGAAGCCGATGAGCATGTCAGGTCGCCCTCGATGTGACGGCAACGAGCAGGGATGGCGAGACTGCTCTTGAAACATGGCGCCTCCGTCAACTGCAACAACTTCCTCGGTAAGGACTGAAGATGTTGTTACTGCCTTCGGTCTACCTCTTATTCTCACTTCTTCTCTTCCTTCTCGTCTGATTGTTGCTTCTTCGCTCACTCTCTCCCTCAGGCAAGACTCCCCTGACGCTTGAGACCGCCGGAGCCGAAGTTTTGAAAATCTTACAGGTGAGAAGATTGAGGGAGAGAGAGAGACGGAGAGAGTGGTGAGAGAAGATCAGCAGGGAGGAAGAGATGAAGTGAAAGGGAAGGAGGGTGGGAAATGAGCAGGGGAAGCGTGGCAATGAAGGGGACGAGGAGGAGGAGGGAGAAGGTGAAGACCAGGAAGGAGAGAAGCCGGGCAACGGAGGAAGTTTGGGAAGAGGGGCAAAAGGGCGAGGAAGAATGAGAGGAGGAGGAGGAGGAGGAGGAGGAGGAGGAGGAAGAGGACGAGTGCGATCAGCCGCAGCAGCAGGGCGTGAAGATGTGTTTGTTTGTTTCTTATCGACTTGTCAGGGTCATGACCCAGGGCCCGACATGGACCCGGAGAGACTCTGGAAGGATCAGAGTGGAGGGGAGGTGAAGACCGAGGAAGCGGGCAGACCAACTGAGTCATCGAAAACAATCATGAGCAGACAGGCGCAAGAAAACATGCAGGGACAGGTGTGGAGACCCTCCTCCTCCTCCTCCTCCTCCTTCTCCTCCTCGTCTTCCTCCTCGTTCTTCTCCTTCTCCTGCTCCTGCTCCTCCTCTTCCTCGTCCTCCTGCTCTCTTGCTCCTGCTCTCGTGCTCCTGTCCGTTCTCCTGCTCCTGCTGCTTATCATCACCTCTGCCCTCTTGCCCCTGCTCCTGCTTGAGATGCTGCTGCCGCCGCCGCCTCGCCCTGATACCCTCACAAATTGAATTGTCCCATCAGAATGCGGACAGCGATGACGACGACGACGACGACGTGAAGCGAGCGGGGGATGCGGGTGAGGAGCTGACTCTACCGCAGGATGACAAATCATCGGACTCATCCGAAGACTCAGAAGCTGATGGAGGGGAGGCTGCTGCTCCTGCTGCCTCCGCTGCTCCTGCCGCTGCTCCCTCCTCCGCTGCTCCTGCTGCCAGCTCAGCCTCTCTAGAGACGGTGGCTGTGAAGTTGGCTGGTGTGAGAGGCTGACTAATCGAAGCAGGCCAACGGGCCATCGCAGGGTAATGGGGAGAGAAGCCCAGCGGCAAGCGACGACTCAGACGACTCAGACGACTCGGATGACTGAGGAGGAGGAGCGGAGGAGCATGTAGATACGGCCAAAGTGAGAGGTCGAGGATGAAATGAAGAAGCAAGTGAGTCTTACTGTAATGACGAAGAGAAGAGGAGGAAATGGAGAGGAGGAGAGGGGCAGACCAGTGAAGGCGCTTAAAAAGAAGACAAGAGATGAGCTGCTGTCAGGCACAAGGAAAGAACCATCGCCTGTCACATGGGTGACACGACAAAGAGACAAAGAGAGAGGAAGAACCACTTGCTGACGCCCATCACCTGCACCTTCATCATCCCTCCTCCCTCCTCCCTCCTCTCTTCCCTCGCTGCCTCACCGCATAGCAGTTGCTTGTCATTGACCCGAGCGAGCGAGGACGCGGCTGCCCTCTGCTCGGCGACATGGACTCAATGGTCGTGAGATCACTGCACGGAATGAGCGACACGAACGGAGAGGGTCAGAGAAGAGGAGGAGAGGGAAGAAAGGAAGAGAGCTTTGAACCTTGATATGAGGTAGGCGTGATAGAAGGCGAAGGCGAAGAGGATGATACCAAACGAACTGACGAGACTTAAGAACACGCACATGCAGAAAAGAAGAAGAGAGGACAAGAGCAAGACCACATTCCCGACCGACAAGGAGCAGACAGAGGAGAGGAGGATGGTCTTCTTACCAGCACACGAGCACGTTACACCAGACTTGAGCCACGACGAGCCAAGCCTGCAGAGACTTGATGATGATGATGATGATGATGATGATGATGATGATGATGATGATGATGATGATGATGATATGATGATGATGATGATGATATGATGATGATGATGATGATGATGATGATGATGATGATGATGATGATGATGATGATGATGATATGATGATGATATGATGATGATGGAGACGATGATGATGATGATGATGATGATGATGATGATGATGATGATGATGATAATGATGATGATATGATGATGATATGATGATGATGATGATGATGATATGCTGATGATGATGATGATGATGATATGATGATGGTGGTGGTGATGATGATGGTG